AAGCTATTTACGCGGACCCGTCGGGCGAGTTCATTCTCCAAAACAGTTCTGTGAAAACTCGGACTGCGATCGTGGATCAGGATTCAGGTACTATAAAATCGCGCGGTATACCCRTCGCAGCAGGTGAGTCGTGCAGGATACTGATGTTGCGTACTTGCGTCCCAAACAGCTGTGTGGCCGGCAGACGGGTGGCGCCGAATGCTGTACGAGAACCTGCTGGCGCATCCAGCCATCGAACCCAAACTATTTCGCACACCGGAACTCCGAGAAGGCGAGAACATCCAACGCGTCCAACGTGTACGCGTTCCGCTGCAATAGTGCAATACAAGGTGGTATAGCTAATGCCTTTGCCGAGGAGTGACAAGTCTGCTGCAGTGCTGTTCGGCGACGTGCACATGCAGCTGYAGCGACTCTGCGCACTTTACGTTCACGTTCTGCAGCATTTGCCGAATCTGGTCGGAACGTATAGCACTAATTGCAAGATAGGACCGGACACCGCGATCGACCACCTGTTGCGTGTGGCATCGACAGTGGACGTCGGTACGAATGATGAAGAGGTCATCGGCGACCCCGGCGGTGTCCGTCCTTGCCCGCACGTGTAATACATCTTCTCAATACGATTTTGAAGTGTGACTGAAATATGTTTGTTATATTTATTATTGTTTTTTTAAGGTACTCTTTGCTTATCTATTACCGCTTGGTAGGTATTTATTTCAACATGATATCTATAACAAGCTAATCTTTKTTAATAAAAAAAATATAAAAATAAAAATCGCTTTTAGAATCAATAAGATTGAATAACTAGTTATTGTTAATTAGTTATTAGTGTTATTGCTAAAATAATAAAGATTTTTTTTGTCGGTACAACTGTATACGCTTAACAATTTCAATATTGTCATAACAAATAATGAATAGGTATAGAGGCCTATTATAATAGATTTGAAGTGAGTCAGAAACTGCAGTAAAATACTTGTTTAATAAGAATATAGCGCACCTAGTGCACAGAGTTAAAAAAAAAAATTGCACAGAGTAAATATTTAGATAAACCCTCACGGCCTACGGCACTATTCTACTTCAAACAATCATCCCTTAAATTWAAAAATTTAAACTGTTCTTATGATTATATTGTAATGARTTATTTCTAAAACATAATTAACATATTTGTTGGGTAAGTTGTGAGTTAAAAATATAAAATAGGTACATACGACCTTGTTACCTAGCAAACCGTGATTTATTATATGAACGCCTATTGTCTTACCAGTCAACGTCATTGATCCTTTGATATTAAATAGCAGACATATTGTCTTTAAATATAAAAACCAAACACTCCTCTCAATATCACAATTCTTAAATAGTACCGTTTAATTATGCTGGTAGYACCTACTACCTATATAATACAACATTTATAATATTAAATATTATATCATTATTGTTATTATTATCACAACAAGAATAAGCACAGTTTTAAGAACATATTAATCTTACAATTAATGATTGATCAAATAGGTACCAACTCAAATATATAGGTAACTACTTAGATATAGGTACCAACATACTTAGTTTACAATACATTCATATTAATATAGGTATGCTAGTAATTTATTTATTTATTCTAAAGTCATTGCTGGGACCAAATATTTTCATTGAAATATTAATTAAAAAGAAAATTTCACACTATATAGCTAATTAATATTGGTACCTACTGACAACCAGCCTATTTAAAAATGGAAAAATTACTTTCACCCAAATCAATTTTATACATTAAGAGTTAAGACCTAACAATATGAAAATATTTTTGAAAATCAAACAATTCATTGAATTAATTAATTAAAATTAACTTGGCTTGTAGTAAACAATATAAGTAGCATWATATAGTAATATGTAGGTAATATAGTAACAATATAAATGTAAAATGTTAATGTGGGTACCTACTCTAAAAATGTATATTTTACTATCATACCGTCGGTTGAAAAATCCATTTTGAGATGTAATAAACCTGCCCTGGAAAAAATATTAATCTATTTACTGAATGGATATTTGTGTACTCATCAGTCATCTGCAATGATGTCATAAACATCAACGTGTGCGCTATGCCGCTATAGGTACTCTTATGAAGTTAGTGTACTTACTCGTATATTATGTATAATATGGCGATTTGCGTATGAATATGTACACTCGTTATATAAGTAAATATTGTATGTATTTTTTTAGTGTAGATACTTAAACTTAATGTACAATCATAACTCATAAATATATTTATAATAGCACAATATTGTGCAAAAATTATCTTATTATATTTTACATAGTAAATTATGTTTCAAGTATTTTTATTACATTTTTTAAATTTGAACAATTTGATACCATCATATTGATTTAATTTCAAATGTTGAAGATTCTGATATTTTTATATAGGTATTAAAAATTGACCTCTAATAGTCTACAATTGACCATCATAGTTGCATATTAGTATTAGTGGTGTACAGATGTTTGAATGAGAATTTTTTCATATTATTTACTCACCATTATGCTGAATAGTTGCCAAAGGTCTGCATCGTTGATCGTTTGGTTTCTATATACGTTCTACAGCAAAGCAGATCGTAATATACCCACAACTTATGATTTCAATAAATAAGTAGCATCTGTCCATACTCCAATCGGATGATAATAATAGCTATATAATGTTATATCTATACGAATCAAAATTTCGTAACGATGATTTTTATGTACTATGTAAACAAAATACATAGTTAAAACTTAAAATGCATGACGTCAAGTCACACAATAGACTTCTATCGTACAGAACCGCCGATAATAATAATGTGCGTTTGATAGCCGTATACAATGCCGAGGTATCATAGTTTTAGAATCATAAAAATATTATATTATATGATATAATTCGAGTCCGGTAACTGATGACCAGAAAACTATACTTTAAACGTCCGTACACTGCTTAGGCGTCAAAAACTAGAATACGAGTTCAGAGTTTTAATTTGTGTACCCATAGAATACCTATGCCGTCAAAAAATAAATCACATTACCAAATTACCAACAGCCTCTATGACTGTGGAATCGTAAAATGTATTTTACTATAATAGTTTTGTTAAACGAACAGAGTCGTTCGCACTAAAAAATACTATTATACCAGTGCATTGTAGAGAAAAACAAGCACGCCCAACAATAAAAATTACAAATCCGAAAAGCAAGTATATTAAGCCAGCGGCTGCGGCAGCAACTAAAATTCGGTAAAATTATTTACGTTTTACTGTCGCCACAAATAAAAGAACGACGTCATAATATATATAATATATGATGCATAGACCATCCATTAAAAAACCATGGATCTATGATGTAATATTAATAATATAATTTACCTACGATGGCGGACGCCGATGGGGGATTTAGTTATTTTAGTGGTGTCGTTGAACGTTGAGCGTACAATAATAATTATTGTAAACTGCACATGCGAGTGGTGTTCCGAGTTTTTATAACTCGAGATAATATTTATATATAGTTAGTAATAATTAGACATAGATATGTTTAAATTATAGCCTATATAGGTATGCATCGTTAATTGGAAACTGCTAGTTTCTCAGTTACACGATTCTTCCAAAATATTTTATGAGTACGGGGGGATTCAAAATCATTGAGCAACGCCAAGTGGTGGCAATCACGTTGAAGTGTTGAGCGCTCTCCATGCGAAACATAAGTATTTCACGAAAAAAAAATAAAAGTCTAAGACGTAAATGGAATTATAAAATATTTTTAAAATGTTCGGAATATCGTGATAGTTAATACATTAAGTTGGTATACCTATGACAGCTAGACTTGTTTATTGTGAAGTCTCATCCAAAACGCCAAGCTGAGGTTGCATGCCTAACCAAGCATGAATCGCCACAGCGTCTGGCCAGGGCTGGCTCAGGAATAAATCGCTTATCTCGAGATGTCTGGCTTAGGAGAAGATATTGGTCCCAATGGTATTTCGAYCATCTAAATAATTGTACAATGTGTAAGGGGTTAAGGCGGGACCCTCTTGTCTATATATCTCCTTCGGGTTCAACCAAATGCCCACCACATTGTGCACCCTTGAGTCTATGATGCATACACAATACACATACTAGTAGTTAACTAGTACATATTAAGGAAAGTAAACTCGGGCTCTTTAAGGATCATCTAACGTTGTATATATTATTATATAAACACTATAAACGATGCTACAAGGGGATMGATCAATCAATGTGCAAACAATTCGGTTCACTTGTACTGCAGATGATGACGCTAGAAAAAAGGCCTGTTATCGATATAATCGAGTAGGTACAATAGGTACATGTGTGTGTACAAATATTTTAGGCACCTACTTAACGATTTATTCCAACGTAAAATAGATTTAAAACAAAAAACAAACATTATTTATTATGAAGAAACAGTTGGTATACAAAAACAAAAAATGAAAAATTTACAGTCGTTTTCCGTAAATATCACAATAAAATGTATTGGTTTAACGCAATCATTTATGCTATAGTATAGGCGGTATATCATGTTTATTTGAAGAATRGTTTTGAAAAAATATTAAAATTTTTCCATTTATTAAAACTTAAGCTTATACAATAAAACAGACAATTTCCTTATAATAATAGTAAATTATGTTTCGTAACTAAGGAATTAAAAAAAATCCAGTAAATTTTGTAAGGTACCGATAAAAAATATTTTAATGGTAATGTGTGGTTATGCATATGTTACTCATATTATACAATGTAAATCTGGCTATAATAAAGTAAAATTGTATTTACAATATTGTGTAATAATTAAGTAGCGTTTTAAAAATCTTAAAAATTGAAAAAGAAATTGTAAACATGTATATACATATATTATTAAAATAAAATATATACACAGGTATATTAGTCAAATTCGGATAGTTTGTCGCTGTTTATATATATATATATAAATATCAATATGTTTACATATTGATATCATTCATTCACACACACACACACACACACACACACACACAAACACACAAACACACAAATATATATATTTCTTAAATATTAAATTATATATAAAAAAAATAATCAAAATTCACCATTTTACCCCTTCCCCAATACGGAAACAATACATAATAATAATGGGTAATTAATTATTTTTATTTTTAGTGCGTGGACAATGCCTTCTTCATTACGACCTCCACTGCAGAAACACAGTTGTTTCTGACGGCGTGCGCACAAACAGAAAAGGTGGTGCGGCCCCAGCATGGTAAAAGTTTAGTAATATTATAGTTGTGGTCGTGGTCGTATGGTGGTGGATTGTAAGTTAAGTGGGCAGTGTGGCATCTCCGTTGTTCGCCTTTTTTCCATTCGTACTGTCGCCACTTCCGACGTCGTCTTCCACATCATCTCTGAAACGGTCCTCTAGAAATCCCGGTTCCTATAAGATAAGATGTACGACGTTAAAGAATTTTAAAGTAATATTGTGCAACCGATCGATTTGATATCGTTATTTCTGCGTACCACTGTATAATTTCCGAAGACTTCGTATGTCAAAAAATTAGAGAAATTTGCAAATTTACATGCTTARATGTAGCTTGCATGTAGTGCATTAAAATATACTAACAAGAGCAGTATTATATTTATATGAAGGTACTAAAATGTTTTTAAAAATTAATAAAGTGTATATATACASCAWTACATTACCTTATGCGTATGTGTAAATTATTTACATTAAGCCAAATAATATTAATATTAAACAATGAAATTAAAGTGTTAAAAAAATGAAAGTTCGCACATGCCACAATGTTTTAACTAGAGTCCGGGGTTTATGCAAATTTTTTAAAAAATATGATGATAATAAACTGTAAAAAATCTACAGATATTCAATCTTAAAAATGAGAAAAATAATCAATGAACTTAAAAATATTTTGCTTTAATAAGCAAATCAAAAAATTAGCAAAAACTTAAACATGAAAAACAGCATACAACTTGAAAATTAAACTGAGTGGGTAAAAAACTATTGGATGTACAAAGAATGAAACCAACCAAAAACAACTTTCAAAAAAAATTCTTTAAGTAGGTATCTCTACTACAGTAACAGTATACATTAGGGTTAAGTGAATTATAGTTAATGAGTATGTCACTATAATGGAAGTGTACAATTTTAATTTAAACGAAAAACGATCCTGATYGAAAACAGTTTAAATTTTTGGTAATCACTAAGCTGCATGGTTACCAAAAAGCTACTTTAATAGATAATAATAATTAATGTTCATATATATTTTTTCCGATTATTATAAAAATTACTGCGAAATACATGATATAGGTACTAGTAAATATAATAGGTACTCTAACCCTTGAAATATTTTTAAATATGTAAAAAAAAAAAACATTTATATATCATTTATAATTTTTTTACTGCTATCAAACTTCATAGGTATATACCACGAACTGAGATATACGTAGGTACAGGACTGGAAACTGCCAAATATCATAGGGAACCCAATTGACTCAATAACGGTACACAACGATTCTTGATGTCAATAGATTAGAAATTATAATTTTAATGTTTTCGAAATTTGATAATAAATTGTAAGCAATAAGAAAATAAGAAAACAACAATGAATTAAAAATCTAAATATCTAATAAGTAGTATGTACTTTTTTTARTAGGTACGTATATTTTTCAATTAAACTGTATAATATATTAAAGTTAGATGTACATACACTTTTAAAACACCGAATGAAAAAATGGTTATCAAATCATAAACTCACATTTATATTTAAGTAAGTTATATAGCATTTGTAACCGCAAATCAAAAATTAACTTGGTGATTAGGTAACATTTTGTTGTAATATAGATGGCACTCAAAATTAATAAGTACGATTAGCTAGACAATTTCTGACCTATCTCACGCATTGAACTGATCAGATCGTTTTCAGTCCTGTAGATCTTAGTTTGTGATATACACTCTATGAAGTTGTGCAAAAACATAAAAATCCAAACACTAGTTATAACTAAATTATTACAAGAACACACACCGTATTAGTAGATCTGGTGCCGGTGTTATCGAAGACTGTAGGCAAATCCTTTAAAAACAAAACACAACAATGATTTCATACGATTTCATATGAGTATTTAGTGTGATACGCTGTCAAAAATAAAAATACTGTCCAAAGTTTAGCGATCGGTTTTTTATGGTAAATACTAACACAGGATGATCCAATTTGGG